AATAATAATAATAATAATAATAATAACCTTCCAATTTTGTTCTCTCTGCAATAATAATTTTCTAATTTTGTTTTTCTCTGTAACAATAATTTACTCAAGGTCGAGCACAAGATCGAGCAACTAAACACTCACGCGCAGCGTGTAACCTGCTTGAAGAAATTGTCCGAGGTGGAAATCCTGTTCAACGAGTTAGACGCGATGAAGTGGACCATTTCTGACCAGCAAAGCCAGATCAAATTAAAAATGCAGGACACGATCGCTAGAATCAAGCAACAAGAACCGCCAGAGGCCGGTGTTCAAGACATTGAGAAGTTGAAACGTGCTGTGGATTCGTTGTCGACGAACCTTGAACTGTTCTGGTCACAGACAACTGCCAAAATCGAAGAATACAGGCGAACGTGCACTTTCGCCGAGGACCTCGAGAGAATTGAGAAGGAACTGCACGATTTGAACGAACATTTGAAGAAAGTGGACGCGAAGATTGGTGAAAACCTTCAGACAGCTAAAGCTACTGCTGCTTCCTTCGTACAGTTCGAGAAAACTGTCACGGTAAGAATGGGTAATTTCTAGATAAATTTCGTTCAATTGTTGTCACTTGATGATTAACGGTGTTACGAATCTTCCGAAATGCTCGAACGCAGGAAATATTCGTGTAAGTAAAAAATATTTTTTTAACATCGATTTAAGGAGTTTTTGTGTTGTAACGGATTGCCAGAAATACGTAGTTTAGAAAAATTGAAATTGTTGTAAAATTAAAAGAAACAATGGAGTGAGAATAATATTGGAGAGAATTCTGATCATTTGCGTTGTTTTATTTGTTGTTTAAATACACGTGAATTGCACGTGAAATTTCTCATTTTTTTTTTTTGCAGATTCTGGAAGACAGAATCGAGACGTTCATAAAGACGACCGAAGAATCAATTAGTATTTTGACACCGCAAATCGTGAACGATATTTCCTTCTTGAGGGAACGATGGAGGAACTTGAAGAGGAAGGTCGAGGAAACGAAGAAGCGAATGAACTTGAGCATAGAGTATTTCACGCTTTTGGAAGAAGCCAAAGAATGGAACAGGGAGGGTAGCAAATTGCTGGTGGTGATAGCAAGGAAGGCAACCACAGTGAAAACTCCGAAAGACTCGGCGGATTTGCTGCAAGAAATTGAACGTTACTTGAAACCAGGCGAAGAAATTCAAGAAAGGAGGATCGAGAAGCTGAAGGAACTATCGACGATTGTATTTGGTGATTAAGAAAAATTTTATTCAAATTAAATTTGAAAATTAAGAGAGAAAATATTGGATAAATAATGTGCAAAAAAAGTTAAACAATAATATGTAAGAATGTCTAAATTTTCGCATTAAATGCAAAACATGGAACATAATATAAAATATTCTGTTCTAAGAATAACGTTCGTTAAGAGATTATATCATGCAGCAGAAAGAGTAATATTTCTCTTTTAGTGTTTTACTTACTAAAGTAGTGAAATTTTTATATTTCTTATTATTTTCTTTTTTTTATTTTTCTTACTAGGTACAGACAGATTACCGCAGTTCAACGAAGTGATCGTCGAGAATCGTCAAATGTTGGATTCCTTCATCGTCGTCTCATCCGAACTTCGGACATTAGCTCAGAACTTGAAGAACGCGGAAGATTTACAAGAGAAGCTAAGAATCGAGAAGCAGGAGGCAGACGAGAAATTACAAGCGGCTAAGATGGAAATGGCTGCGGCGGAAGCGGCCAGACAGGAAGCAGAGAATGCGAAGAAAATCGCCGAAAAATTAGCGGCCGAGACACTGGAGAAAGCGACGATCGAGGCGAAAAAATTGAAAGAAGAGAGGAAGGTTGAAAAAGTTCCTGCCCCACCGTTGTTTTCGGTGTCCGCGCAAACTGAGAAGATCGAGAGCACGGACAAAAGTTTCGTCAAAGAGATGGTCACTTCCGCAACCATCACTAAAGAGATACACATTCTGCAAAAGGTACAATTTTATATGTTTCATATTTTTCTTCTCCATTAGTGGAACAATTTCAATTACCGATACGACCTTTGTCAGCGCGTGAGTGAGTGTTTTTCCGAGGAAACTCGAAGGAAGATAGAATGCATTCTCAATTTGTTACGTGATATACGAGATACATGAGTCACGTAATGGAGATGAATCGCATTTCGATAGATTTTAGGTAAAAATTATTTCTCGCGGGTTATTCTTTACGAATTATTAAGAATATTTCTCTTAGTAAAATTAAAGTAATATGTATAAAATATTTAAAAAATATGTGGTATGAATATAACGTAAGTACAAAATATTAATTTAAAAATATATATTAAAATCTAATTAATTTAAAAAATTATCTTGTACCTTATATATATATATATATATATGTCTCGTTATATCTTGTGTATTTTGTATACTATGATTCGTTATTTTTCATCTTTTTATACTTTTCAAAGCCTGATATTTGTCTTGAATTCCAGACGGAAATCGAGGAAACATCTCAACGCGAACCAAGTCCACAGAAGAAAATCGTCACCGAAGAAATACGGGAGAAATCAGTGGAGAGAGTACTGAAAGAGAATGTCCCTCCATTGGCTCCAGAATTTACCGTTCCTCTACACGATGCCACTGTCCAAGAGGGAGAAAAATTCACTTTCCAATGTAACCTCGTTGGTCAACCGGCGCCGGAAGTAGTCTGGTACAAAGATGGAATCTCGATTTTGAACAATCCCGATTATTTGACCACTTATATTCACGGTGTCTGTACTCTGACGATCGAGGAAACCTTCGCTGAAGATTCTGCGAAATACACTTGCAGAGCTTTCAACATCGCTGGATCGGCGGAAACGTCTGCTACGTTGACTGTCAAAGGTAATTTCTGACGTATATGTATACATAAAGATATTAAAAACAATTCAATTTTTTAATATTTCAAACCTGATAAATTGACAAATATCGGAAATAAGAGAAACTTGCACTTCTGCTATGATATTTGTGTCATAAATTATTAATTCTTGTACCTTCGTAGTGTTTCAATTCCATTTTAAATCTTTTTTCGTAATATTAGTACATTTTATACCAATTTTTTTTTTGTCATGAAAAGAATTCCCGTTCTAATTCGATACAATTTTTTTTTCTTGCGATACAATATGAGCTCCCGAAGATTCTAAAAATTGTAAAAAGACCCGTTCAATTCCAAAAATCATTAATCTTGATTTTTAAATTCCAACATTTCATAATTAACCAAATTAATATCTTTTAATTTTCAAATTCAATGAAAATCTTCGCGTTTGTGTTTGTTATAAATTTTCAGAAACAGCGCCGGAAGAGCAACCGAGCCCGCCAGTTTTCGTGAAGCAGCTGGTCGCTTCCGTGGCAGCAGAAGGATCTTCCCATCGAATGGATTGCATCGTCGAAGGTAATCCTTTGCCAACCGTCCAATGGTTCAAGAACGACGTGAACATCGATAATTCTCCCGATTATGTCATCACTTATAATAATGGCGAGGCTGTTTTAAAATTCGAAGAAGTTTTCTTGGATGATAAGGCTACTTATACTTGCAAGGCTGCGAATCGATTGGGCCAAGCCTCCACTTCCGCTTTCCTTGACGTTGAACGTAAGGACTAACTTCATAACTTATTTAGATTTGAAAAGAAAAAAAACATTCGTTCATACTTGTGGAAAATCTTATTTTCCGTGCGTTGTGTATTTTCAGCTGCGGAATTTACTTTGGAGAAACCATATTTTGTTACACCTTTGTCGAATGCTATGGGAAGAGCGGGTCAAAGGGTGAAGCTCGAATGCGAGGCGAAAGGAAATCCGATGCCCAGTTTGACTTGGTATCACGATGGGAAACCGATCGAAGAGACTATGAATGTAAAGGTAAATTTTTATACCTTGTCCTTTGTTATATATAATGTATTTCAATCTCTTATTTGTATAGTATGCAAGTTATTTTACAAATGTGAATAAGAGAACAGAAAAAAAAAAAATCAACTGTTAGTAAGTATATCCTTGAAATGTAGCGCCAAATTTAAAAAAAAAAATACTTAAAAATACTCTATGTTGACAATATACAATATTAGTCAAACATTTGGAAAGTACGTGAGATAAGAATTTTACTTGCTCAGTGTTCCCACTGTGTTAATTTCGAATCGATGGAATATCGAAAATACAACATTCTGCGAGATAATCAGAAGGCCGGAGAATCAAGAACGATCATCTAAACGCAAAACGAGACATCTCAACCTGCCAAATATAAACGCATCTAAATACGACGGGTTTTCCCATAAGCTCGAACGCGTGCTATTCTACGCTACCACATAATTTTTAACAAAAACGTTGTTTCCTCGTGCCCTCTCGCTCCCACGGCTCCGCGTTCGAGGCGAGGCGACCGCGCCGCGGTATTTTTAGTCGGGCGTGCACGCGCCGAATTCGAAATAAAGCAACGCGGCCGCGAAGTGAAAACGAAGAATTGAAATCGAATGGTTCACGGATTTCATTCGCTCTGCTTTCAGACACAAACGGACGCCGGACGGGCCAGTTTGGTCATCTCGGAGGCGTTCGCGAAGGATGCCGGATGTTACACGGTCGTCGCTAAGAACAACGCCGGCGAGGCCACGGTTTCGTGCAACGTTTCGGTGAAAGGGTGGCTACCTCACGAGACCAGCGACTCGGAGTTCGCTTGCAGCGACATGGAGCCAGTGGTGCCGAAGATTCAGATGCCGTTGAAGGATCTGAAGGTTCAGGAGGGCTTGTCCGTTCGGCTGGACTGCGTGATCGTTGGCCAACCGGAACCGGAAGTGAGTGTTTTGTAAAATTGGGAGACAGACTGTCTAAATCTTTAGTTACGAGCTTGTTCGTAGCTTACTTTTGTTTTGTAAACGAAGATTTCGTCAGATTCTGAATCAAGGTCTCCAGTCGGAGAAATCTAACAAGATATTTAAGTAAAGATATTCATGGATATACTGAAGTAATTGGAAGTATTTGAAGATTTTATGAATTGATTGTTGAAAAGAGCTTATATACTGTAGTGAAATTATAAATGAAAGAATTTACCACAAGAATCTCTTACACGTGTTAATTTCATTATTCTATACTATAGTTCCCTTCCTTTAAAAAAAAAAAAAATGTAAATAATTACATCGTGTTTAAATTCGCAAGAAACTGAAATCCATCGAACTGATTTTAAATTCGTCGTCGTTGATTCTGCTTCAGAGATTTCAAATTTCTAAACGAATGGATTAGATTGGAGAACTCTTTTTATAACAGAAAATTTGTAAATTTGTTGGCACAGGTGATTTGGTACCACGACGATCAACCTGTGAAGGAGTCGGCCGATTTCCAGCTGCTGTTCCAGGGCGACAAGTGTTCCTTGGTCATACACGAAGCTTTCTTGGACGACGCCGGTCTGTACAAAGTGGTCGCCATTAATTCCGGCGGTGAAGCGTCTAGTCAGTGCAGCTTAACAGTGACACGTACGTAGAATACATCCTTCTAAATTTCCTCCATAATTTTATATCGAGACTCGCGAACGAACGAAATGATAATGATAAAAAATATCTTCGATTCAGCGGTGACTGTTCCGGCGAAAATGGACAAAACAGAGACAGAAGCGGAAGAAACATTCGTCGGTGGTTCACCTCCAAAGTTCGTCAAACTTCCGACCGATTCTTTGGTGGCGGAAGGCGAGACCGCCATTTTCGAGTGCGCGGTGATTGGAGAACCGAAACCGGAACTCAAATGGTTCTCTGACAGTGGCGAGATCACCAAGAGCGAACGTATCCTGGTGAGTGTTTCTCGTCAAATTTTTATTCTTAACCTTCGGACAGAAGATAATTTTGTGCTTGGGAGAATGCGAATGATTCGAGTGTTCGGGAGCAAACTTTTGTGTCAGATTTTCCTTTCACTGACTTTTTAAATTAAAAATTGGCTCTTTAAAATTAGTATATGCAAAATTAACTAAACTAATTAAATTGTAGCTTTATAAATTATTTTAATTAATTAAAGAGAGAAACAGTATGTACTTATATTACTATAATTACACAGTTTCATTCACAAATGATTCTCGATCACCATCGATAATTAAAAACACATACCTATATCCTTTAGTTGTACTAAAACTTCGAGCAACCACGTGGCACACCCATCGTATAAATAATCAACATTCGAAAGAACGATCCGTTGATTGTATGTGTCTTGAAGAAAGTTCTCTTCCCCTCTGTCTGTCAAATTTATTTTTCTTTCTTATATTTTTAACTCGAAGCCTAGCATTGAACGTTAACATCAACTACTTCCACGGATCCCAATTACTTCGATAATCCGTATTTACTTACTGTGTGATTCAGATTCAACGGAAGGAAGATGGGACGAGCATTCTAAAGATTTCCTCGACGATTCCTGAGGATAAAGGGAATTACGTGGTCAGAGCGTTTAACGCTCTCGGAGAGGCGAAAGCTTTTGCTCGGTTGGTGGTCAGATCGTTGGGCGATTTTAGGAGGAAAGAAGAATTCGTGCAGATGGAGGAGAAATTGATCGCTCCAACGTTCAAGGAGAAATTTGAAGACAGAAGAGTATCAGAAGGCGTTTCCACGAAATTCGAGTGCATCGTGATTGGAAAACCGGCTCCGAAAGTGAGTTGCATTCTTGTTACTTTATCTCCAAATGTAACATGAATTTGATACGGTATGTCTTATTTTTATAAACAATCAATAGTAATATTTGTCCTTGAAATAGATTAAATATTATATGAAATATTGATATTATTAATATTATTAATATTGTATCATATTAAATAAATATGATTTTTGAAAATAAAGGATAATTTATATTTTTAAATTTATAATTAATATAAAATATAATTATATATAAAATTTAAAAATATAAATTATCCTTTATTTTCAAAAATCAAAGATTATTTGAATATTAATGATTATAATTTACACATTTCAAGAACAGATGTAATTAACAACATCATTGCTAATTGATTGTGTGTTACAATGAAGGTTCAAAAAAAATATTGCGTCAATCATCTTAACAACTATAGACTATTATAAAAGTTATTATCTGCTTCTGAATCTCACTACTTTTTTCTTTCATTTGATGCAGACGCACTTTACCAATGCTTTCGCGCATTTATTGAATTTTTGAGAAACTTAACAGCGAAATAGGAAACAGAGTGACAGCAGAGCTGAATCTTGCATCGCTGTATCATCATTTCAGTATCACATTCGCTGCCATTGAAGTATTAACATTCTCAACTCAAAAGCCACAGAAACAATCCTAAACACTATTAAAGAAATATCAAAACTCACAGCCATAGAAATAAAACCTATCTACCATAAAAAAAATACCTTGAATATTATTAAAAGAAATATCCAAACTTCTGACTTCATAGTCATTGTTAAAATCACAGATCCTAGTCTCGGACAGTCAACCAATGGTATAGTTAAGAAATAAAAATATGTCACAACCTTCGTCCCGTGTGGTACTCGCGTCGACATGCTAAATGTTGCGAAATGTTCGCGTCAATTGATCGATGGGAAGAAATCAAGCAAACAGACGTGGTCTCGAGTCGTTGAGCCGGACTTTGGAGCGATTTTCGGATAGGTGTCGAGGGGACGCGTAAAAGATGGGACCAGCAGAGTTGGCCAGCCTGTCAGGAGGTGGCCGACCAAGAGTAATTTCGTGCCTGCGGGTTATATTTAAACGGGAACACGATGTACCTGATGTGGAAATTCGCGGGCACAGCCGCGCCGCGAGAGGTTCTCCGCGAAATTTTCAACGACACTCGCGGATCAGGTATCGATATCGTGTCGTTCGTGAAGTTTTATGAACTTTTGATTTGGATTACACTGTTGGACCATTGTGACACGACGTGATGTAATCGACGTTTTGCTCATAATCGACCTCGACAATAAGAACTACGCAGTTGCTTGTTTATTTGCGTATGGAAAATTGTATGGAGGATTATCTGTGCTAATTGTATTGTTTTAGAACTGTTTCGGCATTGTTTACTATTATTTTAATATCGTTTTGGTATTTTAGTATTACTTTACTATTATTTAATTATCAGATTGTTCTAACATTATACGAGTTTATGAATCATTTATGATTGGTAGAATTTTTTGATACAGGTCGTCGAAAGTTGTATAGTTTTAAAAGAAATTTCGGTATTGTTTTAGTATTATTTTAGTATTACCTTAATATTGTTCTAGTATTACTCAGTATTATTTAACTATCAGATTGTTTTAATATTATATGTATTTATGAATCATTTATGATCGTAGTCGTACAGACTACGCAAAAGATTTCGTAGAATTTTCCGTGCCATCCGTGGATCGACCGTCGTAAGAACAGTTTGTTTTCAAAATTTTACACGAATGTGTATCTAGTTTTGAAATGGTGCTTCGTTTGCTCGGTGGCTCGGATTCAGTCGATAGCGGGGTCGATACAATTGTTCCTCGATTTTCAAGTAAGCACATCGTAAGAGAAACGTAATTAATATAATTGATCGCGTCTTTCAGATTCAATGGCTGTTTAACGATCGTCCTGTACATGGTAAGGACTTCTTGGTGTCGGTCAGCGGGGATCGGCAAGTGCTGACGATCCCAGAGACCGGCGGCACACATGTCGGTACGATCTCCTGCGTGGCGGAGAACGCTGCTGGCAAGGCGATTTGCAGCGCTCGTCTAGATATTGGTGAGTACTTTTACAGTACTTTCAAACTTTCGTCAGAAAGAAAATTGGAATACCATTATTTATTTATATAATTCTATTTTTACTCAACAACTTGCGCAATTTATTTTTCAATTTTTCGCTTTAAGTTTTCGTTGAAGTAGTAACCTTTTATGCACCAAATACCTTACATTGATATTCTATGCTTAAATATAATTTATATTTTTTTAAAACTATAAATTATTTATTATTTAAATTATATTTAACAATTTAAATATATATAAATTATTTATATTTAAATTATCATATAATATTAAAATATTATATTTAAATTATAATTCAACAATTTTATTATGTCCTTCGTGATGTCACATATCAATATCATATATAGCCACTTATATTATATCCACTTTGTAATATATATTATATCCACTTTGCATATTATATTATATATTATATTATATATATATATATATCCACTTTGCATATATATATTATATATTATATTATATATATATCCACTTTGCATATATATATATAATATATTATATCCACTTTGTAACAGCATGTCTTAGTTTGTCCAATTTACTTACTTGTGGTAAATACAAACATCATTTCTCCCACGAACGATTCGATTTTTAACCGATTTTTAACCACAGTTCTATTCTAACTCGGTGTCGATCTTTCAGAAGCCAAGCGACTTTTTATTGCCAGCCGCGTTACAGTAAATTGGTTCGCGCGTTGCCAAAATATCATCGAATCGCAATCGGTGCCACGAGTTATTAATAATACGCGTCCTAAGTTTCGCGAATGGCAGTTTCATTCACCAGGTAGCCGATACACCAGATTCGACGTGGAATAGTGTCACCGGAAAAGAGTGAGATGTCGCAACTATTAGAGAGAGAGAGAAAGAGAGAAATATGAATGGATAACAAATCATGATATGTGGCAGTGGGATGTTGCGACAGCAACGAGCTCGCTGAAATTCGACACCGTTCGTTCCCGTTGCTTTCCGCGAGAAAAATAATTGTACGCGACCACCCACTAGCTAACTAGCTTCGAACTTTTGGTTGCTTCGTTGCATATTTTTAATCCTGATCTCGCGCATTTTTAGCCTTTGGCACGTATGAGATATTTATTTAAATCTGATATTTGAATACGTTTTTTTGAAAATTTTTATAACAGTTTCTCTCATTTCGGTGGAATTTTAAACCTTGTCTTTTGATGAATTTAATCGTGTATCTCTGAATTTTCATAGTTCTCGCGTAGCTCGGTTTTCTTCTTTCTTGAATCGCTGCGAAATATTCGCATTCGAATATTACATTTCAATTTTACCATTGGCAGTTTCTTTTATCACTTTTCTTTTCACGTTGCCTTTATATCTATTTTTATTACTTTTATTATTCGAGTCTGAATTTTCTGCCCTTGCTTTTCCCTCGGGGTGAAAATCATTTATTTTTATTCCATCGAAGCGGTAGCGACCGATCGTAATTTGAATCTTTTGTCGTGCAAGGATACCAACGATAAATATTACCTCCTGTTTCCGAGCCGAGCGAACTCTTTTCAACGGCGATATTCGTGGGCAGGCAATATCCCATGATCCATTAGCTCGAACTCCGCTCTAACACAGAAGGGAGGGGTCTTATTTTTAACCAGGGCGACTAAACAAACTCTTTTCTCTTCTTTCACTGAAAGACGAAAAGTTACACTTTGAGTCACGACTAATATTAGGTCGGTGCACATGCCGCGGCAATTAAATCTGACGTTTCTCTACGCCCACCTGTGCGTGTCCATGCTGTATCACGATCCACGCAGAAACATTCATTTAGTTAGATCGTTCAATTCGCCGCTCATTTTCTAACGTATGCTTTCCATAATTATAGAAATTTCTCGTCAGATCTGTTATTGTGTATTTGCTAATTTCGACGTGGCCTTTGTAGTAGAAAGTGAAAAGTTTGTTTGATAAGAAAATAAGTTTGAATGATATTGCAAATAGATCGGTCGTGTGTGTAATATGTAGATCGATGGTGCGTTAAACAAAACTGATATTTTGTCCGTTGCTTTTGTTATGGAATGCTTGGTATGTCGTTTATTTCTCCGCGCTTTACATCTTTGTATTTCTAATATTTAGAAAAATATTTTTAATATTTAGAGAAATCCGGCTGTGACCTTGGTATTTTGAGAAAATTACACTGTGACCTTATTGTTAGTTAGCTTATACGTGAAACTTGAAACAGTCAACGTGATAAAATTAATAATAACGTAACCATCAAACTGCTATTCTATGTTTAAAGTTTGATGTTCGAAAATAACATCATTGTGATTCAGCCTGACTCAGAATTAGAAAGAACCATAAATTCAACATTACAATGTAAATACAGAAAATGTTATATCTTTCTGTTCTAATATTGTACTGATAATT